GGTTCAAGGTCGAAACACGTCTTCAAATTCCTAGAGCTCTAGCAAGTGTTTTCAAGAGCTTCAATTGTGAGAACCACACTTATTTTTTGGCAAAAAATTATCATCTAAAACCTTGGAGTATGTGTTCAGGCGGGGTTCTAGGAAATAACAAATAGCCTAAATCTTTAGGAGCTTTTGGAAACAAAACGATGCTATATGAAATTTGATTGGAATTTAAATTGTAGTGAAGCAATCCTTTTACAGCTTCCAATGCATGTTTACAGTTTGACTGTATGCAGCGCAACCAATAATTCTAACCTCTACGAGTTTTTGTATTATACGCATGAAGAAGAGCGCACTGCAGCGATGGAGTTGGAAGTCTGTTGCCCGGCAGATCTGAAAGAGTATGCCCTTTACAACCTTTACCATACGTTTCCCTGGTAAAGCCCTGAATCAAATTTTCACAATAATAACAACTTACATCTCTTTCCATTTTATTAAGTTTCGAAAAATCGAATTCTTCGCACATTTCGGGATTAAGAGCGTACTGTGACTCAATTTTGGACGCTAAACGTACAGCAGCCACAGAAAGCACTTCGAGCTGATCACGGCAAATTTTGCGTTTCTGTAAAGATTTTTATATTTTTCTTTTTAGGCCACTATTAGGATGACCCGAACCGATACTGTCATTGCAACTAGGTAAGCAGAAAGAGGAAGAACTTCTGTAGCCAAGCGATCGTTATAGAAAATTTCTATTAGGAAAAGATTAGTGATTGTAAACGCACGATAGCCACCTAGTGACAACCAGTCTGTCGCTGTAGTAATCGGATAGCATGCCTAAAAAGAGACTCCAATGCATTTTACATCGGATTTGTTGATAATGTTGTAAAATCAATTTCAGCAAATCTGTAATTAAACAGTGTATACTTACCTGTTTTGAAAACGCATACTTCACTATATCAACGAGAAAATCACGATGATCTGATTCAAGATCTATCTCCCTGAACAAGCCTATTCGATTGTATTCCGCGGCCTCATCACTCTCCTCGCAGTCCGTCGTAATCTCACATTGAGACGATGGATCTAAAAAGAAGTATCAGAATTAATTGGTCAGGCTGATTTCTTGGTTTTGCGACTATAAAGAAAGTGGAAAAAATGGATTAGCCCTTTTATTTTGGAATATCCTAGCAATAAAAATAAACTAAAAACGCGCTGATTACTGCTGTGCATGACGCATTTTAGTAGTTGGTGCAATCAAATCATGTTAAGTAAGGCGGGAGGGAGTTGCTGTCTCAGCGAAAAATGCTGGTCTCTCACTTATGGATAATCACTGCCTTGTCCAGGGTGACTCGGTTCAGTAGCTACTTATCCAAACATTGCGTTAAAGAAATTGGCTTATCTACTTGCTAACTGAAGAATATAAAAGTCATGTATTAGCCTATTTTT